GAAAACATTTTATAAAAACTTTTTTTCTTCTTACACTTTCCATTTTTTCTATTATAATTCTAATTTCTAATTCTTTTATTATATAGATTTTTTTATAAGAATATTTCAAAATACTAGTAGTATAATTCTTTTTATACTTGACTAAAATAAAAATTAAAATCTGGGATATCTTTTATATCCAAGATTTTATATTGTATATCATGTATAATAATAATTATTATTATTTTCCTTTAATTTATTCCGTAAATAATTATTATGTATAAATACGATATACAAATACTAGAAAGTTAAAACAAGATCGTCATTGCCATATTTATTACTGCTTGTTAATCATTTGTTTTCATTAAAATGACACAATATAGCACAATTATACACATATTAATATGTCTAAATCGCCTAATAATAAGATGCGAAGAAAATTCATCCATTTTGTCAGCCATTTTTGAAGATATCGAAAATTTAATTTTTATTTTATATTTGAATATTTAATTTTTATCAAGATAATTTATGCCATTAATTTTTACTCATGGCCTACTGCTTTCTCTTAAGCAATCTTTCTATGCTAATTGCGTTCTTATTTGCCTACAAAATCATTTAACTTCTTAATATTTTAGTTGCTCTTAATTCATAATATTATACTAATCTATAGAAATGAACATTTTTGGAATAACTTTTTATATAAATTATAAGGCGATTGTATCGAATGCAATGATATTCCACACGACACAATTTTTATATACTTTTTTATACTTTTTATCGAAGAAAACGCGAAACGAATTTATCATTGATTTATCGGTGAAGCATTTCAGTAAAAATTTTACATGTTTGCGAGATATATACACATTGATATAAGAAGTTACCGCACGAATTATAAAACGAATGATATAAATGCAATGTATTCATATAATTCGTGAAAAACTTTTGAAAAATTCATTTTCAAGAAGCCAAAACAAACACAAAATTGATATATGAATAAAAATGTTGATTGAGACTTATTTATTAAAATTAAAATCTCTATCTCTGTTACCAATTTACATTTTTGTGTACCAACTTGTGTTTGCTTTGAATCTCTAGAATCTCCAAAAGTTATTCTGCGAATATATTAATACCTTGTATACATATGTATATTTATCAACGTTAATATTTAAAGTTCTTAGTGAAATAATGAGCATCCGTGAATTTTTATCCCGAGATGCAATTCAATTCGATTAAGTGAAATGAGAAATGTAACAATAACTGTCACAAGACGGAATAAAAAAAAAAAAAGTAAGAAGTTTTGCCAATACTCAGGCAAACATACGTTTTTAAGTACAAACACGGTAAAAGCGCAAGCATTGTATACATCGGATCTTTTTTCATTTTTTATATGAGACAAAGGTTCTAGGATCGTCTGATGTATTGAGTATCCAAAATGCATTTCGTGTATGTATCCTTCGGGCGTTGATAGGATCAGCCTCTTTTTATGGTATATTCGAAGGATAGATTGATGAGAATTCCAAATTAATATAATAAAAATTTAAATGTTCAAAATTTAAAGAAACAATTTATCGATAATCAGGATAAATTTATTATTGTTTAGAATTTAGTTTAGAAAACAATCTTTTCCCTGTATAGTGTTCAAATATTTAAGATTCTTTTTATCTTCAAAGAGGAATGTTATTATTCCACAAGCGGCATTCTCATCAATCTCAACGAAGTTTTCGTAATCGGTGTTTTTTCAGCCGAATAGAAAAAAGAAAAAATCGAGATTGAATTATAGATGCGGAGCGCAAAGTCTTCCTGTCACGGTTATATTCGTACCCCTTGATGGAAGGGATTCGAAACGAGTTTATGAAATATCTGCAACGAACCAGCGGACGGCTTTATATTCCGCATCCTATTCAACGAAAAAAGTATGTAAATAATAAGGAAATAATATTAATAAGTGTAAAATTGTCGAAAAAATGTGACAATGAACAAAAAAGAAAAAAAAAACAAAAGAAGAAATAAGATGTACGTGTGATATAACTTGAATTTAGGTGTTACAAATTTTACACAGAGATAATACCGTTCTCCTCTACCGTTTTCGTTTTTCTAATCTTATTTTTTTTTTTTTTTTAACTTAAGAAAATGAAAGAAAGAGGTGTTAGTATAATTAAAGAAATTTTTTATTATTCGTTCATTATCGTTCTCATGATAAGATGTTTAAAAAGAGACTACAATTTTATGTTCATTATTTGCAACGAGCATGGAAACGGTGTAGGTAGAAAAAGCATGATATGATTAGGTATAAAACACGTTTGATCATTGTACATAGTTGTAATATTTATTAAAGTGAAAAGAAAATGGAGCGATCATAGCGCATAGAATATAGCGATACATAGATTTAGCTGTTAATTGATTATAATCTTAAGATCAAATCGACGAACGAGATCGGAAACGAAATAGAAACAGAGAGAGAGAGAGAGAGAGAGAGTGTGTATGTATGCATGTAGGTGCATGTGTGCGTGTTCGTTTCCTTGAATTTATCGAAGAAGAGAAATATCCTAGTCAGTAAAAAAAAAAAAAGGTTTTTCTTTTCGACTTTGTCCGCAATTACACATGACAGAGTTTCTTGCCAAATTTTCTCACACACAGCTCAATTTTTCGAACATTTTATAGGAAAGTTCGCTATTTCTTAAAATATTGTATTTCGCTATCTTATTGCTAATTAATTATTAATGATGAAGTGTTTAACTGGTAGGGGAAAATCTTTGAATTCGAATTAATTCGAATTAATTTTCCCTAATATTTTTAGATTCTAAGTAAACTTGCTAATCTCGAATACTTGACGCGGAATATGAATCGACGTCGACATGATTTACAATATCCCTAAGTCTCAATTGATATGGTGGGATCGATTAATAAATGATGATCAATAAATAATTTTTTATATTTTATAGAGAAGGAGATTTTTATATAGCAGTATATATTTTCTTTCCATTCTTACGTTCTACTTTCTGCAATAATGCAATATCTATTAATTAATAAAAAAATTATAAAATGTTTTGTAATAATCAATAATCAAATAATTTTAAAATAAAATTGATTTTACCATATATTTGATTCCGCTGTATCAATGTTGAGAAAAGTGAATATTATTTTAAAATTTAAGATAATAAAAGTAATAAAAGTACATATAATTTTTAGTAATCAGTAGGGAGCAATGAAAAAAACAATATTGAGGGATATTGTAAACACGATCAACGTGAGATAGTTGAAAGAAAAACCTTGAACTTTCGTCTCTGTCATTCAAGACTGTTATAGAAATGCGCAAACGGGATCAATACAGTATTCTCCGAATTTACAAAAATTCTTCTAAAAAGAGGTTATTAATAATCCAAGGCATATAAAGGATTGGATATTAGGAAAAGAAAAATTATCTTGCACAGAAAACATATTTTCAAATGTTCGATTTGCAATCTGATATAAAAATCTGAGAATTCTTAAGAAGAGAAAAGATCAATACAAATTCACGAAAGAGATTGAAAATATTGATAAATTCTAAATATAGAATCTAGAAGATTCTTGATAGAAATTTGATTCTAATCATTTGTCAATCTATATCATCTTATCGAGCAAAAATCTGTGCGAGATGACATTAGAACTACTTTTTCCGATGAATTCATTCAAACCGCATTTCATTTTTGCATGATTTTGATATGGTAATTGCATGAAAAATGAAGAAAGAGGGAAAGACAGAGATAGAGAGAAAATATGTATGTATGCGAATACGTGTGTATGAATGTATGATAAAAAAGAAGGAGAGAGAAAATTAATTATTTTCAGAAATGCTAATATAAGGAAGAGTAGGATAAAGCAGAATACTCAATATATCTTTTATTCTAACAAAAAAATAAAAGATAAAAAGAATCCTAGACAACATAAAAGACGTAATCATAAAAAAATCAGTCTTTTAGAAAAAAAAAAAATTAAAAATATTTTTATTTTGTTTTTATTATTTAAAAATAATTAAGAAAGTTATTTTTATTTACTTATTTTAATTTATCATCTTAACATTTTAAAATTGTTGTCTTCTTCATTATTAGTGTTAGAATTAAAAAATATATATTCAATGAACAATTCTGTCTTATTTTGAACAAAACAATTTAGTTAAATATTTATATTTCAGAATTCAAATAAAAAAAATTAAACGAAATATTAAAATACTGTATAAAAATCATAGAATACAACGATACTACTTACATTAATGACGTTACGTTAAAACGATGTTTAAAAGTTATAAGTAAGGACAAAACCTTTGACATAATATTTTTTAAATTTTTTCACTGATTTTCAAAATTTTTTACAAAAAAACTATCGTACGTCAATTGTTCACTATACGTGTATTATAAGACAAATTGAAATAATTCATACGTACCATGCATTTTAATTGCATATCATAGTTTTTATCATGAAAAAATATAGATATCCTATTTGATTTACACAAATAATCTCAGCTTTATCCAACTTTTCCTTATACACATATATATACATATATATATATATGGAATGGAAATGTACGGATATAGAACGTAAAAAATTTTTCTAATTGGTGCATTGGTCTGGCCTATAAAACTTTTTCATTAATTTAATTAAGAATGTTTAAAAGTTAGATGATAAGAGGAAAAAATAAATCAAATGTCAAGATTATCGAACAAGATGTTTCGATTATCGCAAAAGCTAATTTTTCGAATCTGATTTCATAATGAATATTCAAATCTCATTAATAATCGATTCTTGAAAAATAACGCTTCCAAACGATGTAAATACCATTCCTATTGTGGTATGTTCGTATTTTCTTTACACAAAATATTTTAATGATAGTTTCAATAAATTTAAAAATAAAAAGATAAATATTAATGTACTTTTGTCTTGAAAAAATTCATTTAATTAAAATTCAAATTTCTTAAAGTTATACTTATGCAAATTTAAATAAGAATTGTTATTTCGAATAATCACAGAATTTTTCTAATTTCTTTTGTTTTAATCTCATTTAAAATATATGTGAAATGAATTTGTTTTGTATAATAGACTATACAGCGTGTAAAATTTCATGGATCAAATTTTTATAATAAATATAAAATTATGCATTAACTTCTGAAATACTTCTCATCATCTATTGAATATTGAAGCACTTAATTGATTAATAACGTATAGTAAATTATCGTTTTATATCTCACATAAATCATATTTAAAATCGATCCATTGAAAAAATTGATTAACAAATTGATTACATACTGTACAGTTTAAGATACATACTTTACCAAAAACAAATTTTGATGCGATCGTTATATATGCATCGATACGCGAATTCATTCATTTGACTAAAAAAGAAATGTAATTAAAATCTTTGAGCCTTTAAATATTGAGCAAAAATAGAAATATTATTCTTTGGTTTCTCATTTTTTCTCTCTCGGCGTGCGAAAGACGTTTATTCACAAAGTGTGCAGAGGCTATCAAGATTTTGTGTAAGTTTAAGATTTCTATGGTGTTTTTGTACGCGCAGAAAGAAGCATTTTCAAGCGTGTATTATAAAGAGAATTCTTTAAGAGGCATATATAAGAGTAAAATGAAACTCGTTAATCGATACTGTTTTTGTGCATTGCGAATTACGTCTAATTGCCATATTCCAGACTTAATTCCTCCTATTGTAATGGTAACACGAATATTATGAAAAAAGAAAATAAAAAATATAAGATCCATTTGTGTATATTCAACTATTATACTTAGTGTATGTATATTATTTTATATTTTATACAAAAAGCATAGGATTTATTTTAAATTTCATTTATCAGGATATATATGTTAAAAAATTGTGTTAAAAATTATGATTTTAAATTAAAAATTTTATGTAACATTCTTTATTTCAAAATCACGCATATAATTTTTAATTCTATGTAAATAAATATGTATTAAAAATATCTATTTACTTCTTATAATTTTTTTAATTTTTTAATGTTTCTTAGTTTTGAAATAAAAAACAATAAATTCATATTAAAATTTAATTTTTTTTAAGTATTTAAAGATTTTATTATATTACTCTTCAATCATTTATTGAATTGTAGTACATTATTACAACAATTTGGTACATAAATATACATACAGTTTAATTCTTTTTATTCAATGTATCTATTAACAATTTACTGAGTATACTATAGTAATGTGAACATCTTTTTTATGTTTTCTCTTAAACTGATAGAATTCTTATCCGATTGTAAATTATATATTATTACATAATAACAATTCGAATCGTTTGAATGTAAATTTATATCTCTTTGGTTATTTTTTAAATCGGAACATTGTTCTGATTTTCTCTTTTTTTTACACAGTTCGTTGTATTTTTAAAAAAGCTTAACTTTTTGAAATAAATTTAATACTTGCATATAATATTTTTTTAATATTCGAAGTGATCACGAATTTATAAATCCATGTTTTTTAATATTTATTGTTAATATATTTTGTGCTTTATAAAAAAAAAATCGTCTCATTCGTTATAAATGCAAGAACATTGTTTGGAAAATAAAAATTAAAAAAAATAATGAAAATTTGATTGAAAATTTATTCAGAATTTATGTGCATATAAAGTCGATGTAAAACTGTTCTTGAAAACTTAATTAGCCTATTATTTAGTTTTTAATTTTTATACTGTAATATTGATACTCATTTAACTAAAAACTTAAAAATAATTATTTAAAGTTGTATCATGAACATAATAAAATATATTTCTAAATGTTGTGCTATAGAAATACTTAGAGAAATACTTTAATAAAATACAAACAGTTAATACTTTTTATCAAATAAACTCAGGATAAAATAACATCTTGTTATCAGTCTAATAAGTACACAAGCCATATTTGACAGACTTTTCAAGTGTTTCTGAAACTGAATCATCGATGAGAATGAGAGAATTAGGTGAGAAAAAAAAAATAATACGATTGATATATAAAATGACAGAAAAAAAGTAGCATAAAATAGTTTATTGTGAAAAGAACGAAAGAGAGAACAGCGTATCTTTATCTTTGTCGACTTTTGAAGCTCTTCAATGCTTTAGGGATACTAATTTTTTTGCTGTGCTCTGCAAATGTAAAGGATAGCTTCTACTGGAAACACTCGAACGTTTCACCTAGAGCATTGTTCCTTTGCCAAGTTCGTAAACTTGAAATTATTGAACTGAATTTTCTGCCAATCAACCGTGTCATTTAATGTTTACTACGACTTCACCTCACCCGATTCTTCTTTTACCTGCGGGTGAGAGGTAGTATTTGTGATCACAGAAATACTTTTCCCACTCTGCAAACTAGAATGGCTTGATGAACGACTATGACTTTGACTGCTCGCGCCAACAGGAGTCTGTACAAGAGGTTGTGGCGGAGTTCTGGCACCAGATCCATTAATTACCGTGGAATTAGGTTGTAATTGCATATGATACTTGTAAATATTTTCTGTACTCTCAACAACTCCTATATTTTAAAGATTGTAGCGAATTAATTTATTATGACTTCATATTTAAAGTTTTAATTCGTATAAGTATGTACCAGCTTGTAAATTTAAACTGCGTCCGCGAACCCCAGTTTCTTTCGAGGGAGGACTCCACCAATTAACAAAAGTTCCCACAACAGGCACATGTCTAAGAATACCTTCTTGCCATAATTTTTCAGCATTTTCTCTTTCCAAATCTGTCTGTGCAGCTTCGATACCTCTTTTCACCACTTCAGATATAGTATCCAATAATTTAGAACTAGCTTCCACTTCTTGACCAACTTGTAAAACTAAAGATAATAATTCGGCTACATCTGTGGAAAAAATTTATTTTAAGTTTTTATTTTAAATAACAATAATTGAAATTAGGAATAAAAAGTGTAAATTTTTGCTTACCTGTATCTTGTGTAACCATTCCAAATCGTACACAAGCTAAACCATCGGCTCCTTCTCCTAGAGAAAATGCCGCATCCGTATTTCGTAAAGCTTCAACTAATTGCGTGTTTAATCTATTCAATTCTTCTTTTGCTTGGTCGGTCATAACATGAATCCAAGTAGGAGGAGCATATCGAACACCACCTAAACCTGCCCAACCAGGCATTTCTACTAAATGTAAAGAATCATTTTCTGAGACTAATCGCACGAATGTTGCTTTATGTTCAACTGTTGCTTGTAATATTTCCTGTTAAATAAATCATAGCAATATAATTAACAAATAATTGTTGAAATATTGATTATATATATCATGTTTAAAATAAACTTACTATCTGCTGTTCCAAACAAGCTATTACATTATCTATGTCTTCAGTTGAGGGAGGTTGTTCTGGATTTTCTAAAGGACAAATACGAATTGCAATACCGTGATGTTCTATTTCACATAACTCTATTTGTACATTTTCGATGTCTCTTTGAAGAATTTGACCTAACCAGGAATTTAATTTATCGTAATAAGGAGGAACGCGTTCTGTTGTTTGCGGATCTCTATCTGCAGGCACAAATTGAAATACTAATGCGCTAGCAACAGCTTCAAACAGCTGAGGATTGTTCACTGGATTTATTAGAAGCTCATTTATAGTATAGGACCCTGTTTCACCTCCAGGTGGTTGACTCTACAAAATGAATTATATGATATGACAAACTGAAACTTTTTTTTAAAACAGGATATTGTTGCTTGGACATATTACCAATATCCTTATACAAGAAAATTTCTTAATTTTATTGTACAATTCTTCCACAGCTAAAAAACATCTCTTCAATCTATTATGTACACCATCTCTACCTAACACTTGTAATGTAGTCCATAATGGTAAAGTTGGTAAACGTCTTGACAATGAATCGGTCATTAAACCTGACACTAAAGACAAAGTTGTATCTCTTGTAGTTGGACGACCACCTTTTGTATCTGTTAATCTATATAATGTCTATGTATAAATTAAGAAGAAATTTAGTATACAATTTTTAGCATACATTTTGATATTTAAACAATTTTCTAATCAAATATATGCATACTAAAAGGATACAACTACTGGCAAAGATGGTATACCAAGCCATATTCCAAGAGGTAATGTAACACTATCTGCAATCTTAGAAGGCTGAAATTCAAAAACATTCTTATTACATATTTTTAATGTATAGAAAAAAGTAAGATAAAATAAATCTTAGATATGAACACACCAAATCTTTTGCAGAATTATTCAATGCTAATGCAGCTAAAGAATGACCTCTAAGATGAAGCCAAACATTATATTTATCACAAATTGCACGTAGTCTAGCAATATTATCGCAATGTCCTGTTAAAACTGAGCCTCCTTCTGCTAATACCAAAAGTGGTGTCACATTATTTGATTGTGTATCTTCTGCAAGTCTGCGTTCTAAAGCTGATACATCCATGCTATATCGTGATCCAAACATTGTGTTATGGGGGATGGGCCTTACACAATGGAGTGGCAAAGAAAGCTAAAAATTATAATAAAGATTTACAATTAAGAATTCACAAAATTTACAATTACTGTATTCTTTTAAATTATAGGCTATAAGTTTTTATACCTGTTTGCACAAATGTTGAACAACTCCTAAAGGTGCAGCCACAGAACTGTAAATTAAAGGTGGAGAGGCTGCAAGTGCAGTAAAACCTTCTTCCATATAACGAGGATATTTTCGATGTAGAGCCAATCTGGTCACTCTGACTAAACCTTCTAAATGGTCCTCGTGAAATGAAGAGGCACAATCGACGAAACGGAAAATATGACTCAGCCATCTAGTTGTATCTGCAGCCAATCGGCCAGCTAGTCTCTGAGCATGGGATTTTGGAAGTGCAAGCGCATACGCGGAAATAGTATGTGCGATTAAAGCTAATTTTGCTGGCTCGGTTAATGTTGGCAAAGTAGTTACTTGAGTTGTTGGCGTTTCTGTTGAACCATCTTTAACAGGCTGTGGGGCATCTTCATGAATTACCAAATCCTGTAATATAAATTTTAAGGTTTTCCATAAAATATAATTTTGATTTTAATTAACTTTGTATTATTAAATTTTATTTTATCAATTTTTTTATAGTTTTGAACGATTATATTAATGTTAAATATTTTAAAAAAACCGCCAACTTATAATTCTATAAGAACAATCAACCGACTTGCAACAATCATATAACCACGTGATCGGTAGTAGCCATGATCATAATAGTATCAACCAATCACTTCGTAAATCTTAGAGAAACAACCAGTTGTCAATCAATGATTTCTGCTAGCGCTATATTTACCTGAATTAAAGTTAATATCTCATCAGAAGTTTTTGGTTGTGAAAGAAATCCGGAAGGATTGTTCCATGTGGTACCGCCACCGTCGGCTGCCCTCTCTACAGCTTCCTCGAGCCTCGATATTACCTGTGAAGCTTGAAACTCTAATGCGGCTACTTCGTTCGATGCAGACCCACCTCCGGTACTGACCTGTCAAAATGATCGAAAAAGTTCGGAATAATAACGTGTTGTTAGTACTAGGATTTCTTTCGACACTTCGAAAGGCACTATTACGTTATCACGCACTGTCCTGATCACGGCTGACACGAACCTCGAGTATATTTTGCGCTATACTTTCCATCGTTGTTTTATCGTTTGTGTCAGTCTCTTCGGCCATCGTGGCAATAGTCGTCGTGGCACAGTAGCGTCGCAATCCATATTCTATTTATGTCCATGGCTAATAAAAAAATTTTTTATTTTCTTTCTAAATAAAAATAAATTTTATATATACATATACTAGATATATATATATACACTAGAAAGTTTATATTCTTTAAACTATTATCAAATTATATTTTCTTTTTTTTTATATTAAATAGCAAAATAAGAAAAGGTATCAAACAGTTGATACGGCCCTTATTTTATCTATATAGCTGTTATCGCAGCGCCAATTGTTCAATTCGTTGATTAACAGAAATATATTTTGCATATCAAATAGCTTATCAACGCACATGTGTTTTTAATTTAAATATTTTTTATTTGAAAAAATGTTAATGAAATGTTAGTTAATTATATAAAAAAAACTTAAACAAAGAAAATCTTTACTTATAATTAAATGCTTTCCAATTATTATTATTTTAGATTTTATTATTTATAAATTTTTTAAAATGAACATTTAACTTAATTAAAAATGTAATTGATAAAATTGAATCAATAAAACATGAACTTCAAAGAATACAGACTTTTTACTTTATTATGATTTTTATATAAAGATTTATGTAAATGATTTAAATTATTATTTAAAAATACAATAATTGTTTATAAAATATATACATATTTTTTGAAATATAAAAAATAATAAAATATAAAAAATATTTTATTATATTTTGTTGTATTATATTAATTTTGTTTAATGAAATAAATTGATATTAAAATTATGGATTGGAAAAATTTTTATTTTTTTATTATAATTTATTTCTTATGAAGATAATTACAGAATTATATTAGATCAATAATAAAATGTTTTGAATATATATACATAAAAAAATAAAAAAATTAAACAATTTCAACTATACCACCAACTTTCTTGATAGCATCTGCTAATTGATCAGCATCTTGTTTTGAAAGATCAGCTTTAATAATATTTGGTGTATTTTCTACAATTTTTTAGCCTATAGAAAATAAAAATATAAATCAAATATATTTCACAAAATCTTATATATATATATAGTTAATATATAATTAAAATATATAGTTAATCAAAGAATAATCAAAAAAATAATAATAGAAAAAAAAATAAATATTAATTTTTTTGGAGTTGTTTTATATTGTTCATTCATAATATTAAATCAGTTCAATTTTATATCTATCAAATATTAATATATATAATATGTATTATATATATATAATATATATAAAAATATTAAATCAAATATAATATATAAATATATAAAAATATTTGATAATTTAATTTTTTATTAAATTTATAACTTGTGAGTAAAATTTAACTTCAATATCATTCTCATATTAATTTCATAATAATATTTATATATATAACAATCAAAAATTTAATTTATTTAGTTATTCTAATTTATATATAGTTCATCAATTAATGAAAATTTTGAAACTTATATTATAAATATAAAAATATAAAAATTATCAATCATTAAAAATTAATGAAGGAATTTAAAATATTTTATAAAATGATTTAGTATAATGTATATATAATGTATATAACGTAATATAAAGTAATATAAAGTAATATAATGTAATATAAGTATAAAAACTATAATTTACTATAAGATAAAAAAATTACCTGTACAAGATTACAATTTGGTAATATGGTTTTCAACTCTTTTATTAAAGCAATTTTTTGTTTTTCATCAAAGCCTGTTAACTTAACAGTAAATGCAGTTTGTACTACTGCAGCCTCTTCAACTTCTTCCTAAAATTAAATAAGTTTGTATAATTTCTCTTTGATTTTAAAATGTTTTTATAATAAAAGTTTTATAATAAATGTTTTTTAATAATAATAAATAACATATACTTCTGCTTTTATTGGAGCAGCAACAAAACTACTCATAGGCATTGCATCTGGCAAATTTAATCTCTTTTTAAGTAATTCACTTAATTGTGCTACTTCTATAAGATTTAAAGAAACAATTTGATTAGCAATTTGTTCTATTTTAGAATTAACTGGTAATTCATTTTGTGTAGCAACAGATTCCAAAGAAGGTGTGCTAATTGTAGCAATTGCTTCTGTCTGCTGAATAGTACTAAAACATTAAAAACATTAAAACAATAATAAAAATGTATGCTTTTATTTTCTAATATTACAAAATTATATCAACTCTTTTATTGAAGCAATATATTTATTATCAAATATTAATGTAGAAATTATATATATTTATACTTTCATACATAATTTATATTTTTTTAATATAATCATTCATATATTTTACAGAACAAATATTATATTATTTATGTATATTTTAAGTCAAAAAAGAGAGGTTATATAATTATATTATATTTTGTTTAATTATATATTTTCAAAATATTAATTCGTACCATTTATGAAAGTGACGAATTTGATGAATATTTCGCTGACAGATAAATCGTAATGTATTCATTATATACATTTGATAGCAGCTTACTAATGTATAATTTTAATAAATATAGTTTTATTTGTAGCAATAATAGTCAGTGAAAATAAAAATGTGAAGATCTACAAATGAAGAGGGAATGAATGAAAACGAACACTTTTTAATCCGGAAATGTAATTTAGTTACAATTCCTTTCATCTATCCCTGTAATGCTAGTATCTTATTCCATTCTGAATCGATAATATCATGTGCAGAGTTATCGGATAAATACACTACCACTCTTTGTACCACTAAAAATGGCTAAATTTCCCTACTGTGAATTTTTTAAAAGGAGAATACGTGACATTATTTCCATTGCCATTGTTAAATTAAACAAAGATATGTACAAGACAGATTTCTGTTTCTGGCATCGTATTGTACCATATCTCTGTTTAATAGCATTAGCAATAGAAATAATCTAATATCATATATTTCTTCTCCTGCGAAAATTTACAGTAGGGGAATTAAGCCATTTTTAGTGGTATAGAAAATAGTATACCGTGCTCATCTGGCAACTCTGATCGCATGTGATATATATGACTATTATTATATTTAGTTACAATTCCTGTCGTTCCATTAACGCTGTTATCTTATTCCATTTTGAGTCAATATAATGTCGTATATGACATATGACATAATTACGATAGTAATGTATTCTCTGCATCCTGGATTAACAGGCACAAAAATGTATCGAATGATTGATTTATTCTATATTTGACATGACAAGAATTTAAAATTGAAATTATCAAATTTATTTTTTTAATATTTCTATTTGTTTCTTAGTTAATAATCTATATATATTATTATATATCTTAATAGAGAAAGAATATTGAATATAAATATTTATTATATTCATTAGAAAGAAAACATAGAACACGTATATTATTCATATAATGCTTTTTTTCTTGTCTTTTGAAGGTTACCTGACTCCTGTATTTTTGTGTCACACGCACACCCGATATTTCGATTTCGAATATAGCTACATGTATAACCTCCCTGCGTGACATGTGTTAAGAAGATTATTATATTTGTAAGAATATTCTTCTTTCTTTTCTAAAATTTTCTTTAATATATATGTAATATATCTTAAATAATAATATAATAATATTAAAAATAATTTTTTTATATGTATATTAAAAATATAAAGAGATGTACGTTGATTTAAATCAACGATATATCTATTTAACAAATGAATATATTTTTATTTTTAAACATATCGATTTCTAGACCATGAATGAAGATAACAACAAAAGAAAAAAGTAGAGAAGAAAATAAATTATTAACCACAATAATGACTGATTTTTCTGACAGTTTACAACATAGTCACATCCTTGAAGAAATGAGTAATAAAATTGTTGTTTTAGTTAATTCACGTATTTTAATATGATTATTATAAATTTTTCACATTTATCTATTACAGGTTTTCCGTTTATATACGGCTTTTCACCTGTTACAGAGGATGGTGTGCCAATTAGAAAATTATTTATTAGTAACTTAGCACAAAGGGTTTGTATATATATTTTTAATTATAATTTAATAAAAAATATTTAATTATAAAAATATAATTTTTTAGACATCATTTAAAGATCTTATAAAATTATTTTCTAAATATGGAAATGTTGAAAGTTGTTTCTTACGAAGAAATCAAGGAAACAGTAATTATGCATTTGTTACTTTTCACACTGTAGAAGCAGCTTCAAGGTAACTTAAATCTAATAAATAAAAAATTAGAAAATTATTAGTAAGAGAATATTGATATTATGATATAACATAATATTGTTATAACAATATAACAATGATTTATAGAGCCAGATGTGATTTAGATGTAAGATTACACAATAGAGATTTAAGAATCTTTGCTGCTCATTCATGGCATCAACCAGATAGTATAGAAAATCAATATTATAATGTAAAAGATAAATCAAAATCTAATAAAAAAGAAATCAATGAACAATGTCATCAAGATTATATACAAAATGATATTACAAATACTAGTATTCAGATATTAAATGATGACTGCTTAATACATATTTTTCTTCAATTATCAATTGTAGATAGAATTAGAATAGAAAGAGGTTGAGTATATGATTTTTTTTTTAATATTAATATTATTATTATTGAAATATATAAATTTAATTTAATGTATATATAAAACTTTTTCAATAATTGTAGTGTGCAAAAGATGGAAGGCATTAAGCCTTGAATCTTGGCATAGTGTAAAAAGACTGGATTTATCATATTCTATGTGGGGTTTCTTACCTGCATTATTAAAATATAGAGAAATTACTACATGTACTATACGAAAAGTTTTATTGCGATGTGGTCTATATTTAAATGAAATAAATCTGTCAAATGCTACAGTTAATGTACATCATAGTACATTACATAGTACATTAACTATTGTTGGAAAGTTGTGTCCTAATTTACAAAAAATAGATGTTACTGGTCTTACCATTTCCCCATCTGGTATCAATTCATTAATCAATAACTGCCATAATATTACAAAATTTAGCCTTGGTTCTACTACTTATGTTTGTGATATTGATCTACAAAAATTATTCAAAGTTAATCCAAAATTACAATATCTCAAAGTGGATTCTGGTAAAATATGTGGACGATGCTTACTTTATTTACCATTAGAAACAATTGAAGAAATTGTTTTAGAATGTTGTACTTCCCTCAAAGAACAATTTTTATCAGAGGTAAACATTTTTCAATTTATTTAATTTGTCTTTTAAAAATTTTTATAGTAAATAATTTTATTTTTTTAGGCAATTTCAAAATTGCAAAACTTGAAATCCCTTACAATAAATAAATGTATTGGTATATCTGATAATGTTATCCAAGCTATAGGCACACATTATAAAAATCTAGAAACATTAGATATTTCTAATAATTCGTTTATTTTACAACCAAATGATATGTTACACATTGCAAAATTAACTAATCTTAAAATATTAAAAATTAGTTTCAATTCAAGTGTTATGGACGAACTTCTTTCCCATTTAGCATCAAAATGTTTGAGACTTACATATCTTGACATTGCCGGTAAGTTAAATATAATTTTTAAATAATTCGTATGTAATTCATATGAATTTTTTATTTGTTACAGCATGTTTTCGAGTTACAAATATTGGTATAGCTGCTATAGCAACTTTACCAAAATTAGAAGTGTTAATAATGAGTTATTTAGATTTAGTAACGGATTTAAATTTACGAGATATGATTAATTTAAAAAGACTAGAATGTCGTTCTTGTAAATTTACAGATCAAACAATGATTAATCTTATTGAATCTGCACCAAAATTAGAATTATTAGATTTATCACATTGTAGTGGTATTACAAATCAAACGTTAACGAAAGCTGCCACAGTTACAGTTAATCGTACTAATAACATGATTTTAAAAATATTTGTTGGAGGAACAGCAGTGGATCTTAGCACATTTGATAAAGTATCGCCCTTCTTACAAATAGTTAATGTGATTCTGCTTATGTAGATATATCTTGTAATATATTTAACAAATTTGTAATATTTAACCCTAGAAAAACGTAGGCTTAAGCCGTTACGTAAAAGACCAAGGGAAAAAAAATATGCTGAATCTATCTACATTTTTTATGTTTTTGATCCAAAAGTGTGATTTAAAAACAAATATTTTAAGAATATTTGGATAATTTTGAATTGCAGAATATGAATAGAAGTGTATATTAATATTTTATATAAAATTTTTCATTAATAATTTATTTAATTAAATCGCAATACAATTATAAGGATAGATATATATCGTGGTAGAATTTAATTTGACACATGATTATTCACAAGTTTCGCAAATTATAATATTTGAATGTTTTGTATTGTTGTTGCACTTCTCGTTATTATTTTTTGAACATTCTGAACGTGAATCTTAATTTTCAGTTTGCTTATTGCAACTAATTATAGATCATAAAAAGTATTATTATTTTCTTTACTGACTCGATTATATCATCAACATTACTATAATCATTGTTGCCGTCAGATATAATATCAAATATGAAATAAAATAAAAATGTAAAATACAATTTACTAACAAATCTCAAAACGAAATTCGTCTATACTATATACTTTTTTTAAGACTCTACGAATTTGCTCTATTTATATGTTTTGAAAGAAAAAAACTATAATTGTTCGATTGTTTCAAAATTAATGTAGTAAACAAGAAAAAATACAACTTGCAATGATCATATAACATTATGCTTCGTTATCTTTGTTTTATATCATATCATAAATATGATATCTAATGTCACGCATCATTGTTTTATATGCAGCTAGAATAATAAAAGAAAAAAAATAGAAAGAAATATATCTACCGATTTTTCCACGCGAATCCTGAAATTAAAAATAACAATAATTTTTTGGAAATTTTTAAGATAAGAAAAATAACATTTTTTCTTTTTTCTTTTTAAATAGTAAGCTCGTGAAGCCCTTGGTCTTTCTAGGGTTAATGTATAGATTTATTATAATTTAATATATATTAAATGATTTTTATAAAATTTGTTACAAAAAAAAAACAATTGAAAATGTTCGGTAAATGAGAATCATTATAAATCAAATATCTTAATATTATATTAATTTCATAAGAATCAATAATATTATATCGATAGACTTTGAGATTAATCTATTCAAAATTCAAGAAAGCAATAAAGAAAAACAAACAGTAGTGTGATTGCGATTATGTTTTTAATAAAAAAAATACATTATCACAGCCTATTAAGTACAACTCATGATGTTTATACATCATATATTACATAGTAACATTGTTTTTGTATTATTTTGATATATTGCAATAGAAAATATGTAAACGGATTAATGAGATTAATGTTTTTCTAAAAAATTAAAAAATTTATCCAAGTATACTTTTTCTAATATTTATACATATATAATATATGAATATTTTCTAATTGTGTTATAAATGAAAATAGTATATAAATAAGCTAGAAATAATATATTAATAATTTTTTAACAAAAGCGCAATTTTTAAAAATAAATGATGGCATAAATTAATTAAATCATAATAAAAACAAGATTTCTAGCATGAACTAAAACGAATAAGTTATGTAAGTCAAAAGACAAAGTTTTAATTACAATTAACAATTAAAATTTTTATGAATCATATATTATATTATAATATATAAAATTTATTATAATATTATTATATTAAGAAGTATACATATTTCCTCGCTATCTAGGAATATTATCGTAATACTGTTCTAATTTTTAATAATATAATTTAAAAATTTTGTAATTTTTCATTAAAAAAAAGATAATTATTCGTTTTTAAAATATTATTAAATTTTTCTTATGAAATTTTAATATAAAAGAAATAAAAATTTTAATGTAACATTATGGTATTACTTTGTGCATACACGTACATGTAAAAACTTTGAGTATGTAATGTATCTTTTTTGATTTACAGCGATGACTACAGAAATTATATTCAATTCAATCACAGAAATTAATAAAATCAATAGATGTTAAAAACAAATATCTTCGATACATCTTTTTATAAATATATGTCATATAATTATTCATTAGATTTCATAAATATTATATGTATTCTATATTAGATTCATAGATATTTTAACTGCCACGAATAATAGAAAACTTGTATTTGCTTTTAATAAACGAAAAGCGAGTTTGATGAATTGGCGATCAGTGAATGAATAAAACATTTTTATTATAAAATTAGTTAAGTTCTTTGTATTTTTTAGTCTCTTTCTTATATGTAAATTTTTATTTTAAAATAAATTTTAATAATATGTAAATCAAAATAATTTTTTAAAATTAATTTCAAAAAATACATCATCAATTTTAATAATTTATTGAAACATATTATAAAATTAGATTTATTTTATATCTCATCTATATAAACTAAAATATTAATTATTGTATTTATATAACAAATATTCAAATAAAAAATACGAATTAATTATTGGATATTTTTATCTTTAAGTAACTACATTACATAAAAAAATAATCGTTGTTAATATACATTTAATAATTAATAATTTAGATATCAATATTAATTAATCAAATAATATTAACACATATATTTGAATATAAGATAAATTTATTTTTTGAATAATTACAACATTTAGACAGTGAATCGATACAGTGGCAATTATTATCCACAAATTTGCAACAAGGAATATCCATATATTTTTAATAAGTTCCAGAAGTAATTATTTTTTTGACAGCTAAAATTCACTGTTCAGTGAATAAAATTCTTTAACTGTATGATACATTTTACATAATTTTTTAACAGGACTTATTGAAAAAAATTTTTTTCTGTTTATAATGTATTATGAAGACCACATTATAGTAAATAGCATTACGCACATCATTATAAGATATATAAACATAATACGAAAGATCAGTTCTTGGGCGTCTTACGCTTAAACACATAAGTGGATATTTCCACTATGCTTACAAACATCACAATACGCTCATAATACACTCCGATATTTTTTTAAGCCAAATCGGAAAAAAGGCTAACATCTACACTTGCAATCGCATATATAAAAAAAGTAATGACTAAGCAAACATGAATAACTAGGAGAAAGATTATATAATTCTT